CAACTTCCACCACCAGTCATGTGGAAACTTGCCTTGTCCTCCTCACTGGCCGTGCCGCAAGTTCTTCTCAAACATTTCTTACATTTCCTTTGTGCCACAGTCAGCTGTGAGTTGAGAATCACCTTCGCGGAGTTCCGGCTGAAGGGCCATCCGCACACAGATGTCCAGGCTTCAATGGGCACATCCCATCCTGCATCTTCAACTTGGTGCCACACACGTTCTCGGGAATTGTATGCTGTCGAAGCCACCCACAACTTCTTCGGCAGTGTCGTGACCACCACATTGCATTTGTCCACATTTCTGTTTTGCTCCTCCGTGACCGCGCCGTGCGAAGGTGACACTGCAGGAGGTTCCGGAGCTTCATCCATTGCCCCGGCTGGTTTGTTTCCCTGACTTTTGGGTGGTCTTTTGGTCTTGCAGTCATCGTTCGACTTCAGGTTCCTGTTAGCCGGTTCTGATTGCAATGCATCTTCTGCATAGGTGAGCACCACTGACGACTTCCATCGTCCCAGGAATGCCAACTCTTGTATAGGCATGCCTAGTCTAACGTAGCCCATCGCACCTGATCTCCTGGCTGAGTGCCCTTGAATGTCAGGTCTGGTCACCATGGCCCACCCCTCCACCATCTTCGCTTTTGACAGTCTTTTGTTCTCGGAGTCCTGGAAAACGAATTCCTGTGGATCTCTTTGTTCTCCACGAAGGGCCTTCCACAATTCCATCCATATTCTCCAGGGGCACCATCTTTGGCAGGTTCTGAAGAGATTCTCTTTCTGACCCAGTCCGCCGTGATGTCCTTCCATCTCATGGCGCTGACTTCGATCTCCCTCAACATCCATATGACCGCCCAGGCGTATGACAGCGCTGGTCTGATGGTCCTTTTGGGGCCGCGACATATGAGGATCCACTTGATGTGCTCGATGTCATCCAGCTTGAACTCGGGTGCTCTCCTCACTGGTCCTCTGTTCCTCTTGAGCGATCTTTTGCAGTCGGCCATCGCCCTATGCAGTTGTTGGCTGACATCCCAGCCGGCCTCGATGTGCATCAACTTCAACTCGTTGATGTATTGATCTCCCGAGGTCCAACCCACGGCCTTTATCGCCGCTGCCACATTCTCCACCGTCTCGATCTTCAGCGGGAAGGGTCGGCATCCTTGCCCACAAGCCTCCATGGCCATTGACAAGACTTGTTCTCTTTTGGTTTTCTGGGATGCCCTGGACGAGTCGGCCATGAAGTCCTTCCTCAGTTCTTGTCTGGCCTTGGCCAACCTTTCCTTGCCCTTCAGAACGTCCATGACCTCTTCAAATGAACCTCTCTTGGCGGCTCCTTTCTTCTCTTCCAACTCTTCTCGAAGTCTTGCCGCATCATCTGCCTCTTGCACCTTGGGTTTGACCCGCTTCAACTCCTCAAAATGACGAGCTTCACCATGCACTCGATTCCGAATTAACTCATTCATGCAGTTCGAGGGGTCCCTGAATCCAAAGCTCATCACCCCCATAGTCCTTCTCGTGTTCACTGAATGCGGGATCCACGTCGCAGCATGGGCCCCGGAGCCACTCCACCAAGGCGGTGCATGTCGTGCAAGTCCTGCACCACGGGTTGAGCTCTCTGTACCATGGCTTCGAGGATCTGTGTACGAGCTGCTTGTGCCTCTGGAGATCTCCCTGGGGACACCAAGCTGGGATCTGCTGACCTTTTCTTCTCTGGGGTGATGCTGATTTGCCTTCTCCTTGTTCGTTCTCTCGATGGCGATCGGTCTCTTCTCGGCTCCTCTCCCTCGCTTGTTCTGCCACACTGAGAACATACCTTCACTCCCAAACTCTGTTCCTGGGTTTTCTCCGCCCTGTCTTTGCTTCCTGGTTTCCGCGGAGTGATTTGCCAGTGTAGTGCACTCCACAGGCCCTTCAGGAGGCTCAGCAGAAAGAATGCCCAGCCGGCCAGCACTGCGTATTCGCCGAAGGACCACGGCGAGGCGTCGTCCCTTAGGGCCAGGTCGGGCGTCGACACCACCATAACTTGAGCCATGATGGGCTCGCCCGGCGCTTGTCGAGCATCCTGCCTGTCACCGTCGATCGAACGAAAGACATCACCGTCCTCGACCGACGAACTCATACCGTCTCCCCCCCCCCCTTCCCTCGGTCGACTCCCTCAAGCCGAGAATGATGGACGAATTTTTCATCCTCATCCCTTCAGAGCAGCTCGAAGGCTCCCGAGGTCTGCTGGGCCGAGGCTCCCCACAGTTGTGGTGCCATCCCGGGCGGGGACAGGTATGATCGGTGCATCAAGTTCCTTGGGAAAGACTTGATGGGCACCTTTCCGAGACACGTCCATGCCCACCTGCCTCACTCTTGACAGTCGTTCTACGGCACGTCCCGGATTCCTCATACCAC